CGTCGTCGCTCTGTTAGTACGTCATATGCTTCGTTGATCTGATTGGTTTATTTGGCCCGTCTATCACCAACATAGGCCAATCAGCTAACCAGTATTTTCGCCCCTTCCCAAAATTGCTTCAACGGAAGGTTTCCAGATGGATATGCGGAGCAAATCCATCTGGCGGAGTCAGGTTAACAGACTGCAGGAGGAACCTCACCTTGATGCTGTGGCTCTATGGAAGTGCAAAGTTAAAGCCAGAATAACGCTGGAGTTTCACTTCCACTGAGCCACACAGAACATGGAGGATTTATTCTGTTGTTGGGTTTTAACAAAACTTTTTGTACTGTCAGATGATTGAGATTGACAATATAACAAGCTCCTCATTTAAACATTTGTAGCGGACACTTTTAAAAAAAAAAATAATAGTGATTTTTAACTGAATTTGTTTTACATGAATAATTGAATGAATTGTGTAAATAAAGTGTTGTTAAAATCTATGTTCTAGAGGGGACATGAAGGCCCGGTGTATGAACGACACTTGTGTACACCTGTGGGGTATTGAAAATACACCGTGTTCCACAGAAACGTCTGTAACTGAGTTGGTGGAAAGCAAAACAAAAGAGAGATTCATAAAAACGGAAACTTTGACCTTTTACCCATAATTAATCCTACAGTAACATCGTCAGAGGAAAGATGGAAACGCCTTCAGGGTTTGTGATGTTAGCATTGCTAATGGCAGCCAGCCGGTATAGTAAATATTTGGTTTATAATTTAGACATTTTTCATTATAAAAGGGGCTCACCTTTTTCTTATCCTTTTTCTTCTTCTTCTTTTTCTTCTTGTCTTTTTCACTATCAGAAGATGAAGATGAAGAGCTGGAATCCTACATGATCAAAACGTACTTTAGTATTTTATTATTACATACATTAGCAACGTTAATGTACCAAAAGTATCTGTACTTTATCAGTATTATATCTGGAAATATTGGCATAAGTTTCTTAAGGTATGATTTGATCACTTAAAGTCGTAGGGAAGCGGCTGTTCCAACCGTTGAATTTACAAATTCTCCCCAGTGGTGCACGACTTTACACGAGTGATTAAAGTGAATGTGATTGGTCGTTAATCAAGGGGGCAGGATTGTTGTGGTGGAAGGTTCACAATCAAGTTTGACTGTGGCCGGTTTGTTGGAAGCATCTTGCTAACCAGTTAGCAACTTAGTGCTAGAAGGTTCCCAATGGGAAATTC